GAAAGAATGATTGCAGTGGTTTTTTCTCGGCTTTTTTTTTAAACTGTAGTGGTTTTAAGCTTAGCAGTAGGTCATTATTCCATAGCCTTAAAAGTTAGTCGTAAATGTAATAAAGCGAAATCGAGATTGACATAACGCGGGAATAACAAACACAGTTGGTTGTTTGTTGTCATCAGGAAGGGGTAAAAAAATAAGAACAATGCTTAAGTTGGATCTATGTTTGTTTTTGAGAAAAAAGATTTTTTGAAGTTTGATTTTTTGTCTCTTTTTTCAAAGGGTTTGTACTTTTTATTGTTTACAAAAGAAAATACAGTAGTTAAATTTGTAGTGTTTATTATACGAAATATTTCTTTCAATTATTTCATTATGTTTCGTAGTAGTGCACGTCTTTATCATTGTTACCAGGTTTGGCGAGAATGCATGAAGCTTCCAATTTAATTTTAATTTGCGAGTGTATTGGTGACAAAGTGGCATGCTGAATTAGTATCACTCGTTGAGTGGTCTTTAGATTATTTGGATTAGCAATCCTACGGTTTGATTTTTATGCTCTGAAATGTCTTCTCCTGCTATAAAATCAAAACCATTAGGCCGCAGGTTTTGTGATGAGACGTTTACATTAAGAACGGGAGTCATTAGTTTCAATCATTTGTCGTATACGCACGCAGTTTCAGAATGAAGCAGCTTCTTGTTTTGCATAAAGAATGGTGAAATTTGGTTTGAGGAACTTGGGTTTTTTTTTTTTTTTGCAAGTTTTGTCGAAACAAAGTACAGTGATTTTTTAGCTAGAAGCACGAGTCTTCTTTTAATTAGGTATTTGGCGTCACTAAAATCGCGCTGTGGTAAACGGTTTGTTGTTACTGGATTGTCATGATCATATATCAGTTTAGAAACAGCGCAGTTGGTTAGATAAGGAACAGGCGATTTGGTGGGGCCGCAAATGGCCGATACTGCGGTCGGCTCACGAAAATGGCGTTTCCATCCGGGTCGAAACCAATTTTTTTGCGATGGGCGCATCATCATGGCTCGACAGAGCTCTATTTTTCTTTTTACTATATTTGTAATATTTGTCACAATGGGACTATTTTTTGCATTTGAGTAAGTTATTTAAATCTTTCCTCGATTGCAGTTCTGTATTTTCAGTAACTGAATGAAGTGGAACCGTTTTTCTGGACAAGTTATCTGGTTTTATGGATTTTGCTACTTTCTTTCGGTTCCGCATCTTTAAATATTTTGTTTGAAATTAATTTTTATCGCTATAATAAACCGTTTTAGTGCTCCCTATCTTTTCTACAACGTTTCGCCAGCTTTACCAATTATTGCTGTTCTACTTATGTGTTTGATGTTAGGGAATTTATTAAAAACTTCTTTTTCCGACCCTGGAATACTTCCAAAGGCAACTAATTTGGAGGCTAGTGAAATAAACCGCCAGAATGCTATTGGTAGGGTCTTATTTATCTAGCAACATTTGCTGAAATATTATTGTAACAGATACAAAGAGTTTACTTTGTTTTTATTTATTTGTTTATTTTTTTTTTAGTGATCTGTATCATAAATGGTGAAGTATTATTTTGCGTTTGAGAATAACTTCTTTCATTTTTTACTTCATTCTTCTTTTTGGGGAATTTTTAGATAATCATTATACGACAGATACTCTTCGACCACCTCCAAGCATTAAAACAGTTTCTGTTAATGGCCAAAGTGTAAAGTTAAAATACTGCTTCTCTTGTCGGGTGTTCAGGCCGCCAAGATCTTCTCATTGTTCTGTTTGTGACAATTGTATACTAAGGTTCGACCACCACTGTAAGTTGTTTTTTTTTCCTTTAATTTTCCATTTTAATGAAATGGAAATTTTTTTTTCTTTTGAGTGTCGCTTGAATTGCGCTTTCAAATGGCAAGAATTAACCTGATTTCCAAAATAGTGCTAGTGTTCCAGGTCCGTGGGTTGGTAATTGTGTTGGTCAGCGGAACTACCGCCATTTTTATTTCTTCATTGTTTCACTTACTGTTCTTATTTTTTATATTTTTGCCTGTGTTTGCGTTCATATTGCTTTATGTAAGTTTATTTTCAATTTTTTATTCATACATGTATATATTTATTTACAAACGCAGCTGACTTCTTAATCTTTAAGCAAGATTTTTATTTGGCTTTTGAAACTAATTGACTTTTTAGTGTCAAAAACGGAGAAGGCGTTTTTGGGAGCTGTCAGAGAAAGTCCTGTTTCTCTGATAGTTGCCTTAGTGTGCTTCTTCTCCATTTGGTCTATATTTGGTCTTTCTGGTTTCCACACATATCTTCTTTCTACCGACCAAACGACGAATGAAGATATTAAAGGGACATTTAGTTCTAAAAATCATCCGAGGGTTGTGAATCCTTATGCCAGCGGCTCTATATTTCATAACTGTTTCAAAATACTCTGTGCTCCGGAGCCACCCAGGTGATACTTTTGTCTGCCATTTGAATAGTGTTTTACTGTATAAGGTGATTTGTGTTATTGTACTCTGGTTATTTTCTGATATTTTACACAAATTTTTTTTTTTTTATTAAAATCACTTCGTTTTCCACGAGGCTGTTTTTTGCAAAGCATAAGGACCTAATCAAATTTAGCTTGATCGATCGTCGAGGGATAGTTCAACCTGACCCTTACGTCATAGTTCGTACTTGTGAACCTCTACCGAGCCAAGCATATGAGGTCGAATCGGGATCAAAACATTCTGAACCGCTCAAGGAGTATGTATTTGTATTTGATGTTTCGAACCAAATAGACTCTTAATTTCTTGTTGTGAAAGTTAAAATGAATTATTTAGGAAAGATTTGGAACGGTCATAACAATCCGTTTTTGATCTTGCCAGACGCTACTTACTAGTAGCTGATTTATCTGCTCAACCCTGTGTAATACTTAGGTTCTATACGTGTAAGTAATATTTTGATTTTTAGAGAATGCTCTTGGGGGTCACTTGCAGCAATAAAGTTATCTTATTAAAATTTTTTCGTTAAATACTCAACAAGTAACAGTTCCCTTCATTATCAAAACGTTTACTTAGAGGTTCAGATTTGAATGCATGTATAAATTTCTTGTATCATTGCGAAAAAAGTCATTTTTACAAATATTGTTTTTTTCTTGTGTAGTTTTTAGTTTGATGATGACAAATTTTCACTGCTTTTTTATTGGGTTGCAGACGTTAGCAAATAAGGGGAGTTCGAGAAAATTAGGTCTGGGAGAAGTTATGATATCATGAATTCTATTGGATAATTTTGTTGCATCTTGCTAGTTTGTTCGAATAACGTTTTGCTGCATAGGTTTCTTGTCTGTATTATTTGCCAAATCTTCTATGCGTTTGAAAATTTAAAAATTTCAGCAAGATCTTTTGTTATACATATAGTTTGATTTGTTGTTTGTTTTATAAATTTTTTCTTGGTAGGAGAGTTGGAGACTTTTGCTCAGGAAATGTTTGGGAAAAGTCCTTTGTTGGATTACCCTTTCCAGACACTGAGTCTCTGCTGGTTCAAGAGGGGAAGAGGGCATTGAGGTTAAAGTTGTGACCAATTTTTGGACATCAAGCTTAAGTGGTGCTGCTGAGAAGAGATTTCAACAGTAGTGTATTTGGTAACAGTTGTTTATTTTTTCAGATTCCAGTGGAATTGATTGAGAAAGTTACAAATTCGTATTTTTTTAGTAGTAGTCGGCTTAAATAGTGCAATTTTTTGTTTGGTATAATTCAAGAGAGATATCATTCCGCAGTAAAAAATATCTGTATGTAGGTTGACGAATTGAATTCTGTATGTGACTAGTTTTGTCGTTCCTTATATGCTGCTGTTTGTACGGCCTTCCTTGCCAGTGTTTCATGAAAAGTGACAATTATGCAGTCAAAGCTATTATAAAATATTTATATTCAAAAGTTTAGTTGTTACTGCATCTGACAGAATATTCCTTTGAGATGGCGTATTATTTCCTAAAGGTTGTGAAAGAG